TTTTAGAGTGTTTTTTTTAAAATAATAATAAATAAATAAAATATTAGAGGTATAATGAGAAATTTTAAAATGTCAAAAAAAAAAAATTAAACTAACTACATTATGAGTTAATTAAATAATTATAATTATAATTATAATAAATAAATAAAGAAAACCCTTAAATATAGCATAATAAATAATTAATAAAATTTTAGAATTACCTGCATAAAATTTGAAGGGCAATCAATGTAAATTGGATAGAGATTATTAGCTGCACTATTGGCTTCATTGTCGGAGGCCACCGGAGCTGGCAAGTCGTCGGCGACATTCCCTTGTGTGAGGTCGGAGGAAGAGTTTTCAGAGCTGAAGATTTTAGGGTTATATTCATGAAGGAAGTGACCAAAACTATCAACATCTTCATTGCTTTCCATCCCTCCTCTCGAACTTTCCGGCCCCCCGCTATCGTCAACTTGCATATCGTGCTCGTCCGCCGTCTGCCATGTTGGGGCATCGGCATTGCCCTCGATTTCCTTTTCCCCGATAACTTTGGGTACTAGTGTTGTCTTCTTGAATACACGGCACAGTGCATAAGAATCCTGTATCGATATCAAAATATAAGACTTTTGTTTCGGTTTGATTGATAGGGAAGCGTTTGTTGATTGAACGTTTACCCTAGTTTAAGCTCGGTCATGAGAAATTATTCAAAAAGAGAGGGACGTTTTCAAATGTTCGGTCGGGTTTTGAATGATGAAAGGGATATATAGGTATGTTTGTAGGGTAGTAAAGGGCTAAAGTTTAAGAAAAGAGATGGAAATTAAGTACACAAATTTATCTAAAGTTGTAACCAAAGACTCTTTCATAAACCCTTATTGATGTTTGTTCTTTTTCTTTAGGGTTTTTTTTTTTCTTTCTTTCTCTCTTTTCTTTTTCGACGTCCATCGTTCATCGTTCATCGTTCTTTTATACACTTTTTATCGTTGAAGATAAAAGAAAAGAAGAGGAAAAACCTTAGTTGAAGGAGACGATGTTGCATTGGCGAGTTGAGAATCGAGAAGACGATACTCGTGCATAACCCAATTGGTTCTAATCCCATGAGGAGCTCTTCCTTTATAATATACCAATGTCTTCTTCATCCCAACTGCCCGTTTTTGCGATTGAACCGTCCTATCTTTTCCCGTGGCCTTCCAGTACCCGCCTCTCGTCGCACGATTCGTTCTCGATCCATTTGGGTACTTTCGATCTCGAGGGCTATAGAAGTACCACTCCATATCTTTGCTCGGCAAAAACGACTTATCTAAAAACTAAAATCAATAAGAATCTAAACAAAAACAATTCAAGATAACCCATTTGATTTTTTATTCGAAATTTAAAAAATCAAAACTTGTTTTTGTTTCTGAAACCACCGACAAACAAACACAATTTTAAAGAACAAAAAGCTAAATGGTTATCAAACGAGTCGACGAAAGTTCCAACATTACCAGGTAATTCCCAGGGTTCGCACTTGTAAAGATCGATCTCGGGGATGATCTCGAGCTCGATGGAGCGGCCATTGATCTTCCTATCCAAATAGTAAGCAACAAGCTCTTCATCAGTAGGATGGAAGCGAAAACCAGGAGGAAGGGTCATGGGAGCCATTGAAATAGAGCTCTTAAAACTCTGAGCTTTGTTATCTAGAGAGAGAGAGAGAGACAAAAGAACACGACATGAAGGGGACCAAACTGTACAAGAAACAACTATATAAGGAGGAAAAAGAGTGTAGCTTAAAAGTGACATTATATTACAGACACAACCTATGTTTTTTTTTTTTGTTTAATTCCCTTTTTAGTCGATCAAAAATCATTTAATTCTTCTCTAATTACCGCTAAACTCGATTATAATTTTATTTTTAATGATGAGTCTGTTTACTTATAAAACTCTCGTTTCATCTCTATTTAACTTTTTTCAACCAAAAAATAAAGATAAAACTTTTGTGAACGGATGATAATCACATTATTTACATTTTAATATATCGAGACGTTAATTCACCGGACTCGGTACAAAAGTAGTAAAATTTAATCTCACTTATGTAAAAGGTAAATTTAATCTTTTCAAAACATAAAATTGGCAAGAATTTGAACTCTAAATTTTTAATATTCTAATATTAGGTTGGCAATTCAAGGGTATATATGTAAATATGCATGAGAGAGAGAGAGAGAGAGAGAGTCTTTACGGCTTTAAGGAAGATTCTATGAGTAAAATAGGGAGGGGCATAGTGTGAAAACGAGGCATGCATGCATATATATATATATATATACATTTTTATATTTTTATTATATAGTTTTTTATTATATGGTTTTTTATTATATAGTTTTGTGACAGAGAGAGAGAGAGGATATATGATTAAGAAGCTTCGTCTGCAGAAAGCTTTTGTCTGCTCAGAAACTAACAAAAATAATATATAGAAACGCATCGAAAGTCTCAATTTGGGACCAAAAAACAACTCAGACCGACCAACTCCATTACAAGCAATTCCCCTGTTCTGTTCTGTTTCATTCTAATAAAATAATGCAAATATAATATGAAATGTCGTCACTTACACACACAATACTATCCACTTTTTTTTATTATTATTGTTTTTCGTACTTCTCCGAGGGATCCTGAAAAGGAATCTATCGATCCTCATCCGATTGGTTGAACTGTAGGTGCGATGAGTTACTTCACGTGCAGTGTCTTTGGTACAAGTTTAGAATGCCTAGCTACGACTATGGAAAGAATAAACGAATCGACGAAATGTCCAACTTCTTCACGCAAGCTCCACTTAACTTAAGGCGATATAGGTCACCTTGTTGGTGTTCAGTTTTGCAACGGGGTTGTTGCAATTATGGGTTGGATGCCTAATTGCCCAAACGAGAACTTGTGGCTCACTTTTTCTAAACAATAGGGAAAATGACCGAAATATGGCACTGAAAGACTCTACTGAACAAAGATGGGCTTATCTACTGTCTCTGTTGTCTCTGTTCATACGTACATATAATTTAGCATAGACATTTTCTATTACTCTTCACACTAGCTCAATGAATGTGGAGTTTAGAGACTCAAGCCTCCAACCCAAAAGGAAGTGTCAGAACCTTAACTACGGTTCTTTTTAGTTCGATCTCTCTATTCACAGTAGTTCAATGAATGTAGAGCTAGTGGAGGTGTCGATAGAAAGATTCAAATCTCTAACATCTTGATCGAGAGCACAGAACTTCTTAACCGATGAAGTATACTCAAAGTTAGACCTGAATTACGATCATAAAGAAGACGAGTATAGCAATATTAAAGAGCAACTTTTTTAGTAGTACAAAGAGAATAGGGACCCAACAATGAAGCTGTCACACTCTTAAACCACTGTTTGCTTTTGCTTTCCCCACCATCCATTGTTTTTTTTTTTTTTTTT